TAGTGCAACGGTTAAACACTTGGCTGCTAACTGTGGGAGAAATATGGAGTGGTTTGCTGAAAAGAATGCAGCCTAAATTATTTGTGGTAAAATTATGACTCTATGCTATGTGCTAGGCAATGTTATTCTGAATGCTTTTATTTCCCTCAATCATAAACATTTTCTGAGGAAGGACTATTATCAGCATCTTACAGATGAGGAAACAGAAATATAAGTCACTGGCCAAGAGTATATAGCTATTCGATAAATCATATTTCCGCTTGTGCAGCTTGATTCAAAGCTTATGCTTTTATTGATTTTGTGTTAAAATCTGTTTAAAAAATATAATCAAAACTATCAATCTTACATGGGGAAAAATGTGAATGTCAACTATTAATCTGTAAAATCAACAAGATGAAAGATAAAATAAGAATAGAAAAAAACCTCAAGTGGGTCCCACAAATGGTAAAGCATGGCAAAGATGACAATTTTTCTTTCTTGTCCTTATGGTTATTTATAGTTTAGATACACTTTTTCAAAATTTAAATGAAATTTATATTTTACACTAGTTTAGAGAAGATATACATTTAATCAGATTAGAAAGTAGTACGAACCAAGGAAACTCAATTACTAGTGAAAAGTAAATGCTAATTAAAACACAAATTGAATTTGAAATTAAAGAGAAAAAAGTTATAAAGATGACTTTAATGGTTAATTTGTGCTTCTATAACACATTACAAAGCAAACAATGGAAAAGTATTAAGACAATCCTTATTACGAATTGGGATTCAAATCGATGCTTCCTAAGTCACAGCAGACAAATTAAAACTGGAAGGGAACAGAAAGGGCTCTTAATATTGCAAAAGATAACAGAGAAGCCAAAGCAAAGGGAAGAAATTAAGGAGCTGAATAGAAGGTTTCAAAGGGCAGTGTGAGAAGACTAACATACTATAATGAAATGTGCTAAGAACTACAGTAAGAAAATCAAAGGGGCCAAACTTACATAGCATTTCTTAAGCTGAAGGAACTGAAGAACACACAAAACAAAAATCAAGCCTCAAAGCTGTAATACTTAAGGATGTTCTGGGCACAACAGTAAATGATCCACGAAGCATTTAAAGGAGATGGAAAGAGTAAAGAGAGTTGTTATACCAGAAGGAATTGGAAGACACAGAAGAATTTCATAAAACAAATGAACCAGAGCCTGTGGTGATGAAGGAAAAAGTACAAGTTGCTCTAAAGGAATTGGCAAAAAACAAAGCCCTAGGAAATGACGGCAAACCAATTGACATATTTCAACAAACAGATACTGCTCTGGATGTGCTCACCAAGTTGTGCCAAAAAATCTGGAGGTCAACCACCTGGCCAACTAACTGGAAGAGATCTGTATTTTTTCCATTCCAAAGAAAGGTGACTTCAAAGAACATGGAAATTATTGAACAGTATCTTTAATATTACATACAAGCAAGATTTTGCTGAAAATGATCCCAAAACAAATGGAATAGCACATCAACAGAGAACTGCTAGAAGTGTAGGCTGGATTTAGAAGAGGCTGTAGTACTAGGGATATTATAACTAATGTTAGATAGATCTCGGCTGAAAGCAGAGAGTACCAAAGCAATGACTATCTGTGTTCACTGACTATGCAAATGCATTTGACTATGTGGACCACAACAAACTGTGGCTAACTCTGAGAATAGGAGTATCAGAACACTTTATTGTGATTATGTGAAACCTATACTTGGACAGCACTTAACAATAACATCAGCTGGCCCAGTGGATAGAAGGAGATGCTACCAAGCCGAAGATGGGTGACTTTTAATCTGCGGTCCTTGGGCCTGTCTTTCATTATTTTTGTTCAGACATTGCTCTAGGTCATATAGCCCTGGTGTACAAGTTGCCGTGCAGAGGTAACTTGTGGTTGCTGTGAGGCTGAACACTGTGACACTGATGTGTCAAATGTGTTAATGGCTGGTTACCTAATGCGGACAGAGTGGGGTAGAGCTCCCCAATTAAAACAAACTTGGAAGGAGGACTGGCATCCACTTCCGTACTAGCTTGCCTCCGGAAACCCTATGAACCTAGAGAGAGGATGTGAGACACCCAAGCGTTGAGGACTCTTCTTCATAGGGGCGCTATGAGTTGCCTACAAATCAACAGCACTTAACAACACCACCACCACACTTGGACCAGGAGGCAGTTGTCAGACTAGAGTAAGGAAACAAGGCATGTTTCAGAATTGGGAAGGGTAATTACCAGAGATGTGTCCTATCTTCATACCTTTTCAATCTGCAGAACAGATTGTATGGGAGGCTGGGAGGGCCTGAAGTGTTTGCTGCAGAAGGTCAAGGACTGCAGCCTTAAATATAGATTGAAGGTCAACATTAAGAAAACAAAGGTTCCTACAAGCAGGCCAATCAGCATCATCCCGTAGATGATGAAGAGATAGAGACTGTTGACAGCCCTACAATCAACACTCTTGGTACCCGTAGCCAGGAAATTAAAAGACGAATTGCACTGGGGAAGATGGTGCTCAAGATACTTCTCCAAAGTACTGAAGAACAATGTCAGTCTGGAGACTAAGGCACACATGATTCAGGCCATGGTCTTCACAATTACTTGCTATGTGTCAGAAAGCTGGACCATGACTAGGGATAACAGAAGGAGAATTGATGCCTCTGAGCTATGGTGCTGGAGAAGAGTAGTGAATATACCATGGACTGCTGGGAGAACAAATAGATTTGTCCTGGAGGGGTGCTCCTTATAGGCATGGATTCTGAAGCTTCATCTGACATACTTTGGACATGTTGCAAAGAGGGATCAGTCCTTACAGAGGAACGTCATACTTGGGAGGGCATATGACAGGAAGACCCTTGATGAGACAGAATGTTTCAGTGACTGAGGTAATGGGGGTAGGTGTGTCAGAGACAGTAAGATTTGTACAGGATAGAGTAGGTATAGGGCTATTGTACATAGGGTTGTGCTGTGAGTTGCAAATGACTTAATGGCATATAACAACAAGGCAAAACTTAAATCTTACAAAAAAGGGCTGCATGCCTGTTACAGAGCAATCAAATTTCTTGAAAAATGGAGCTGAAACAATAGCGACCTACTTAAAGATGTTGACCAACAACTAAGCTTCAAAAGTAAGTCCTTTTCCATGTCCCAGCAAGAGACAAATCTATTATACTAGGCTCCTGAAAGGGCTAACTGTAACTGTTCTGAGTTCTCTAAAGTTCTGACCTGTAATATTTTCCCTACTCTGATAGTGTTCTCAAAAATTTCAATCTGGGGGGAGCTCTGGTGGCCTAGTGGCAAGAAGCTGTACTGCAATCCCAAAGGTACACGGTTCAAATCCACCAGATGCTCTGCCAGAGAAAGAGGGATAATTTCCTCCTGTACCAGTCAGATCTGATTTGACAGTACATGCACACGCACGCGCGCGCGCGCGCGCGCGCACACACACACACACACACACATTCTATATAAAAAAAAAAATTTCAATCTGGGAGCTCATGCTGTGCTAACTAAAATTAGGATATGTTACAATCCTTTGCTAGCTGGTCTAGATCCATTCAAAATTCTGATGTATCAATAAGACTGTAAGACATCAGTCTGATTTTTGGATATATGGAAGCATTTTCCAAATTCATTTTACTTTTTATTTACTTAAACATATTTTAAAATCTTACATCAAAAGGAACTTTACAATGTGAAGTTACCATTGCCACCTTTTAAGTGTGGTCATTTTATAATTGCTAAAATACAAAATTTTTTTAAAAAATATACTAGTCTCTACTTACCACAATGAAAAACAAGCCTTTTAAAATAATCTAGTACACCAAGAACAACATGAGGAAGAACAGTAAGAAAATATTTTAAATGAATGTGAAGGTTTTCTGATGAGACTTTTAGTATCTAAAAGATGATACTGTAATAATTATTATAAAAACAACTGCAAGAGTAACTTTTATATAGTATTTAATATATGTGAAACTATTTTTTAGGAAATATATTTAACTCTTAATAGGTAGGTATATGATACAGGAACCAGCAGTTAAGTAATGTGCCCACCTTCATTCAGTTAGTAAGTGGGGACAAGAGCAGAGGCTAGAAAAAAAATTTGTACCATTTATAGGCATAAATATTTAACCTACAATAGTTCTATGAAATGCAATATAGTCTAATTCCATACCTGTGGCATGTATATACAAGTTGAGCAACAAAATTTTAAAAATATGAATCAATATTCAATGCAAAACCAATTAAGTAGTTGTATGTCGAGGAACTGTGGAGAAATTAGTTACTTCAGAGATTCAGCTTGTAAATGAAATAATGTTGTTATTTTGACTTTTAGTCAATAATGCAAAGAATTTAAACTTAAAAATGAGTACTAATTAGTAGATCATGATTACAAATTAGACCCTGATTTATACAATTTAATGTTAAAGTCATGTTACAACATAACCATTTAAAAAACCAAAATACTGTTGGTCATAAGGAAAATAAACCATACAGCAGCTTATTAAAATTAACAATATTAGCTGACTGACAAAACCTTCACTTTCTCAATCAAAAGAAATTTATCTGAAAGATTTTAGGAATGTCTTCACAAAGATAAGTCATTACTCTTATATTTATCCACCATTAAATGAAAAATAATTAATATCAGATTCTCAAGGAAGAATAACAAAAATCATGATTTCATCACTGCTTTGTATTTATATGCAGAAAAAGTGTAAGATGAAATAAAAGGATGCAGTATTTGTTTCTCTTTTGCAACAACTGGTTAAGTAACTACATAAATGGATATATTGGAATAATTATTTTATACAAGGTCACAAGCACTTATGACCTTGACTCAAGCATAATCATGAAACTCAAAAGTTTATTAAAGTTTGATCTACAAAATGTCTTACTTGAAACAAGGTTACTTACTAAGTAATAAAAAACATGCAGATGTAAAGTTTGTTTTGAGGGGTAGGAAGCCTGTGAACACTTACTGCAAAGTAAGATGTTACCTGATATTCAGAATCCAGTCTAAATGAAGAGTCTCTTGAGTGATAGTTATCATTTAAACTACTTCCTCTGCTTCCAGACATCATTCTAGTACTTAAGGAGCTAGAAGGCTGAACAGTAATTCTTCTTGGGATTCTTGAAGGCTTCGAATCCATTCTTACGGTTTCCTGTGAAATGCAAATTTCAAATGAGTGCCTTTTGAGGAAAAAAAAGGCAAACCTTCAATTCTAATCCCTTTAATCATAGCTCAAATCAAGAATTTGTCACACAAATTAATAAACTGTATCTGGCTCTTAAAGTGGTGAAATTATCATCACGTTGCTTCTACAAGGCAGAGGTCTAAAATCCAACCAAAGTTCCCCACTGCTCATAAATGAAACAAAAATTTTTAAAGAGATAGAAACTTGGACATATGTTGTCAATCTTGGGCTTTTTCTTTTATGAATTTTCTCTCTAAACAAAAATCTTAAGAGAAATCTGCTCCTGATTCCCTTGCTAGTCTTCACTACTATATCAGTGTCAGTGTCCAATATGCATACTCTGCACACTAGCTATACATCTTTCTCATCCTCCCCAACATAACATACAAATTCTTGGATGATGTAAACAGTTTGTGCTGAATAGATTAGTATTTTGAATCCAATAAGCATCATTAAGAAGACCTGGCAATCTTCCATAAAGAGATCAGGCAAGAAAACACATGAGGTAGGTAGTTGTTAAGGTAGAAATCAACTTGATGGCAATGAGCACTCCATATAGTCCCAGGTTGTAGGAGAAAGAAGGCAAATAAAACAAAACACTTAAAAGAAACCAGACCAACCCACACCCATCCAAAAAAACCCCACAAAACCAAAATATACCCAGCTAACACTAAGCAAAATGTTGAAGGTTCAAGTCCAAACTGAGGTTCCTGTGAAGAAAGGTCTGGCAATCTAATTTGGATAAGTGACCTATAAAAACCTCTATGAATCACAGTTCTAATTAATACATGTGAGGTTGTCATTGGTCTGGATCAACTCAATGGCTACTAGTTTCAACACAATGTGCTTTTATGAATGCTTCTGTGTGCTTGGACAGTCTATAATACCATCTACCCCATTAATTCTGGTTATTTCCTAAACACACTCCTTTTCTGTGTGTTTCTATTTTGCATGTATATTTTTACTAAAACACCATTATCATATTTTGTAAACTGTTTACCTTTCTGTATCTGCCCTTCTTTTGGGTGGAACCATTTTAAGTACAGTTGATCTCTGCCACAGAACAAACCGCACACTTTTAACTACTTTTTATATCTTAGTAGGGTGGAGGGACAGAGTAGGAGGGGAAGGCCCTCTATGAGGTGGACTGATTCAGTGATTGGGGTAACTGGGATGCGTGTATCAGAGACAGTGTGATTGACACAGAACAGAGTTTAGGGCTGTTGTACATAGATACGGTCGCTATGATTAGATGTGACTTGATGGCACATAACAACATGTTTCCAATAAATTATGCTTAAGATTACGGGTAATATTTTCAACTCCAAAGATAGATTAAACTTATGAAGACACTGATAAAAGGGAATAATGGAAATTTTAAAATATACAGGAAAAAAGGTATATAGAGAGAAATGTATCCCACTTATATTGGAACCAAAAATTAAATTAGGACTTACACTGATTATGCCAAGAGTTTGTAAACAGCTTTTAAAGTGGTTCCTCTAATAGTCAAACACTAAGGATTTACAGGCATGCAATACAACAGGGCTTCCTGTAGCTGGTTTGACCCACAGGTAAGCATTTTCAATTTAGGTACACTCAATTAGAATTTACATTTTAGCAAGGACTGTAGGAATCTCATTAATTCCTAGTACACAAGAAAGATCTCCAATATGTAAGACCCAAACCACCAGCCAAAACAAGAGAACCTATAAAAGCTATACCATCCAAAGTCACTGTTATAAAGGAAGATATTCATGCTGCACTGAAGGCACTGGCACAAAATAAGGCATCAGGAATTGACGCAAAACCCACTGATAAATTCCAACAAACAGATGTGGCCCCGGATGCACTCACCAAGTTGTGCCAAGAAATCTGGAGGACAGTTACCTGAAGAGATTCATATTTATTCCCATTCCTAAAAAAGTACTGATTCAACAGAATACGGAAATTATCAATGTCAATATCATATACAAGCAAAATCTTGAAGATTTTTTTTAAGGCTGTAACAGTTTATCAACAGAGAACCATCAGAAATTCAAGCTGAATTTAAAAGAGGCTGTGGCACCAGGCATATCACTCCTGGTATCAAGGTTATCTGTGTTTTACTAACTATGCAAAGGCATGTGACAGTGTGGATGACAAAAATTATGGCTAACATAGAAAAGAATGGGAATTACTGAATTCTTAATTGTGCTCATATGAAAACTACACCTAGAAGAGGTGGTTGTTTGAATAGAGCAAGGGAATGCTGTATGCCTCAAAATTAAGAAAGGTATCCATCAGAGATGTATACTTTCTCTGTATTCAATCTGTATGCATTCAAGATGATGGACTTTATGAAGACTATGGATGGCATCATGATCAGAAGATGATGCCGCAATAACTTATGTTATACGGATTACATAAGTAATGTCACGTTGTTGTTGTTAGGTGTGGTTGAGTACGACTGATAGTGACTCTACTAATATTAGATCTCATCCTTGTCCTATAGTGCCCATTAATACAGAGGGAAAAAAATCCTCCATAATTTTTTCCTGGAATTCCAATTCAGCAACAAGCCTGAGGTGGATTAATGGTTCCCCCCTTTAAATTATTATTAATTTTAATGAAAAGGCTACAGAGACTTTGGATTTCCATTCATTGATTGGTGTACTTTTCTCCTTGCCCAACATCCCCTGCCCCCTTAGCTCTTCTCTTTGAAAAGTAAAAGTCTTTCATTGTTAATACAATCCTTACCTCGAAGTGTACTCCACTAAACAGCCTTCATTCGGGACTCCTGTTATGACAATACCTAATCATATATTCCTTTTAAATAGTTTCAATGCCGTATACATAATTTATTTAATCTTTCTCAGTCTCTCCCCAACTCCAATGTCATTCCCATTTTACAGTTACACTGTGCAGGCAGTATTTGTCCTTTTGTTACTGAGATAGTTTATTCAGCATAATGTCCTTCAGAGTCACCCATTTTGTAAAGTATTTCATGAGTTCCTTGTTCTTCAATGCAGAGTAGTATTCCATTGTGTGAATATACCACAGCTGATTAATGCTTTCTGAGACACATATATAAAGTCTTTCACAAAAGAATAAACTACTGTAGGAAATGACTGAGTATATCCAAGGAAAATGGAAGTGTGTAAATCATTAAAAGTGTAACACAGAACCCAAGAAATGGTTACAAAGGGAAAACAATATGAAGCAAGAGCAGAGTAATTCACCTACATAGAGCAAAACAATTAAGGAAAGGCAAGTTCTTCAGGAGGGGGGAAATGTTAACTTGGAAATATATTTCACTGGTGCCTAGCCAAGATGATCACATAACTGAATGGGGGAAATATGCTGCAGATATAGAATATAAAGTATTAATAAAGAAAAAAAACAAAAACAACACCCAACCCAATGCTCCCCCCCACTCCAACTTGCTGAAAACTTTATTTTTCTCAACTCAGAACAGACTCATAGCTGACCTTCCAGCAGTTTTCAGAAGCTTAACTCTCATGAGAGGAAACTACCCATCTTTCTTCCATAAAGTAACTGATGGACTTAAAAGTTCCTTGAGTTGGCAGTGCAATTCTCACCTATTAGGTCACCAGTAATTTTTCCAACTAGTCCTAATTTTGTGAATGAATTAACACAGTAACATTAATACCAACTAAACCAGTAACTTTCCTATTAGCATGCTGTGGGATAGGACTTGGTATAAATCATAATGGTAGTAAGGAAAATATTTAATGTTGAAAAATCATGAAATAGCACCACAAATATAAAGGTTAAAACAAGATGACAAAGGATCAAGGGAAGTCTCCTTCTGAGAGTGGGATTGTGGTGAAGGGTAGTAGGGGAAGGGGCTGGTAATTACTGAATTTTAAAACTAGCTGGGTAATTTTGACTTAGGATAATCCCATGTGTTTCAAAGTAGAATTGTGCTCCATTTAATTTTTGTGGTCTTTTAGAAGTACACAGTCATGCCTTTCTTCCAAGGCACTTTAGGGTGGATTCAAACTACCAAACTTAATGATTATGAGATAGATGCTTAACAGTTTTTGCTTCCTAGAGACTATCTTATATGATCATATTCTTGAACAGTAACAGTTTATGGGGAAAAAATTAATCCAAGTTTAGACTCATCATCTTGGGACAATTATTTTTAGTACCCACACATCGTGTCCTGATAATAGCCTGGTTTGGATGGTAAAGCATATAGTCACTTGACTTAAAAAACATCTGTATTATCAGCTTCTCATGAACTATACATATCTATATATCTATACACACACATTTGTATTTTTTCATTAAAAAGAAGGCGATACAAAACTGGAAATTTAAAGTTTCTATTAGGACAAAGAATAGCAGTTAAAGACCATAAATGGTTTAAGAAATATTAGATTTTTCTATTAAAAAAAAATTAAACAAGAGCCTGTATTTGTGATTTGTTGTTCAATGGCATCAAGTTGAATATGACTCATAAGGACCCTAAAAACAGTGAATCTGACTCTGCCCTATCCTGTGTGCCATTCTCATCATCTCTAACACAATGCAGCCTACCATTATAGTCACTATGTCAATCCATCTTATTGCATATCTTTGCCTCCTTCACTGATCCTCCAGCTTACCCAGCATGAATTCCTTTCGCAAGAACTAAAAAATTTTAAATAGGAGTACTGTCTAGTGCATTTGGGAAGATACAGACCTAAAATTGTTTCTTTAACAAAAGTAATGATTTTTAATCATATTTCTAATAGTTACTTCTATTTACAGTAAGTTTTTACTTGCAGGATGACAGAAACTAACCTAGTCAGAAACCTGCTCAAAAAATCTCTTGAGAGGAGACAAAGAGGCAGAGTCCTATGAGAGATAAAATTTATACCACATTGAACTATTTTTAACAACTCCTCTACATAAACTGATTGAATTTTGACAATGTAGGTGTTAACATAAAAATACAATAAAGT